CTAATAACAGTTTAGCCAACGATTGTAAACAAACCGTAATGTCATGGTATTCAACTATATAATTTGTAATCTTTCGCATTTTGCACGACTGCATACCCGCCCAACCCGGCCAGGTGATATCGCTCTGAGTTGAAGTACATTTTAATGTTCATGCTTAAGCAGCAGAAGCTTTGAAAGCGCGCACTATATAATTTTGTATATATGTATGTGTGTACGTTTATGGATATATAGGCGTTTAAGCGGCATTCAACATTTAACTGATTTTTAATGAGCAGCTGAACTAGTGCATGTCAATCTGACAAGGTGTAAATGATTCAAGTCGACGGCGAAGCGCGCAGCAGAACCCGCGTTTAGTTGTGCTTATATGTAGATAATTATACACATACATGCATATAAATATATTACATGTGAGTAGGAAATCCAAGTGCCGACTAATTAAAAGGAAATGCAAGTAACAGTAATGAAAATTAAGCAGCGATCGCAATGCCTTTTACTGTAAGCGCAGCTTTCCTACCGACCGGTAGTTACCGTTTGTTGTATAATACTAGATTATAATTAATTTTGAGTAATGTATCCGTAAGTGCTTAGAAATACATAAAAACAAGCTTAAGCAGAAACTTATACACAAGTATAAGTACAAAACATGCTTAAATGTAGAAATATATGTATGTTTGTATGTTTACTTCCATGACTTCAAGCAGATAACTAACGCTTAAGTAATATACATATGAGCACATACATACAAGTACATACACCCATATGCATTTATAAAATTGTTTTTGTTATTTATTCGAGGTGAGTAAGCGCATGAGCAAAGCTTCTGAAATAGCCCGGCTTCTTCATTTTTTTATTTTCATTTTCAAATTTATTTCCAATTCTACTACTTTAACACTAATTCTTGTTTTTATATTTATAAAAAAACATTTAAGAAAATGTGACAACATTTTCATACATTTCATACAATGGAAAAAATTGTCTGAATTATATATATCGGGGTTTCCAATTGGAATGATATGATAACTATCCATGTAATGAAAATATTGCTGCCGTTCAGGCAACTGTTGCTGAAGACCACCATTTGTCGATTCCTAGACATTCTCAAGAATTGTGACTGTCTCAAGCCACAACCTGGGCATGCATCCACATAAAATTGTTCTCACTCAAGAACCGAAGCCATTGGACCACCGTATACGTGGAGAATTTGTTGATTTTGCCTTGGAACAATTTGAAAACGATAAAGATTTTTTTAAGAAAATCATCTTCTCCGATGAGGCTCACTTTCATCTGAGTGTTGTGGTAAATAAAAAAAAAACTGTTGTTTCTGGTGTGAAGAAAATCCACAAATTATTCATGAACAAACATTTCATTCACCTAAAGTTTGGTGTGGTTTTTGGTTTAGTAGAATCATCGGTCCGTACTTCTTTCGAAATGAAGCTGGTGACGCCGTTACTGTCAATGGAGAGCGATATAGATCGATCATAACCGTGCAATGGGAAGAATCTGGTTTCAACAAGATGGCGCTACGTGCCACACAGCATGTGCAACAAACAAATTATTGCAAGAAAAGTTAGTTGTTCATTCCAACATAGACATATTTGTACCCCTATTGGATATACATACTATGTATTATAACTAAATACTTGCTAGATAGCGCTGGTGTTTTTTTTCTGCATTGGTATTTATTGAACTAATTTTTTCAGAAGTTCATACAAAATAGATACTTGACTGCCTGTCTAATTCTAGTGTGACATAAGGTCGCGCTGTGAATTTTCTGTTACGATACACATATAGCACTATTTATTTTTATTTACTTTAACTATTTATTATTTGTAGAAGTGTTGGTAGATTTTGTGCAAAATGGCCAAATTTTCAAAATTTCCCGGCGAAGTATGTAAATAAAGTATGAAATTTTGAACAATTAAATTTTTATATCAATGAATTTTACCGAATGTAAGGTTCTGGGTTAATCTATACATACCAAAATTTTATAAAAAGACTATTCTTGTTGTTGTTGTAACCGCAAAAAACAAACCCCAAATTATTTTGCTGGGTTGCTGCGTAGAAAGTTTTTGGTTGATTGATGCGGGTCGCTTCCGGCTACGTAGACCCGATTTTTGTGGTGACAATAATCTAAAATGCTACAGTTAACTGCGGAATTATGAAAACTGCTTATCAGCATTGAAATACTTCGAGCTTTCAGCTGAAACCAAAATACTTAAATTTGAAAAGATGTCAATGCCACCATCCGTTCTAATAACATTAATTTTTAGGCAAAATTCTAAATCGAAGTATTTTTACAAATTCTCAAATATACAATAGTATCTTTCTATTGACGTTTTTGGAGCAAAAAAAGAAAGAGATTTTAACCTCACTTCGAGTGAACCCGGAATGAACCTTTTATTGATGAAAATATATTTTTCTCTACGTTATGAAAAAGACTGATAAAAGTCTACAATAAATTTTTTTAGAAATTTTCAAATATGCAACAGAGCCTATTGAACGGCGACATATAGAACAGATCTAATTGAAAAAGGAGAGAAGTAGAAAAAGAATAATGAAGCTACTTTCGCAAAACAGAATGATCAAAAATACATCCTAAGCAACTATCGTCACTACTTTCTAACCAAGATTTTTAGTCAAAGCACTTAATGCAAGTTTTCGAAAGGCCCTATAGCTTCCTAATATAGTCGAAAAAAGCAAATTTGGCGCAAGAAGGATATGCTAACCCAATTTTTAGAATATAATTATTTTAAATAACACGATATATATAGAACTTTTATCCAACCATAAATGTAAAGCAGTATTAAATGAAGATTTTACGGTAATTTAAACTTTTATTTGAAAATATTTGGTCTTCAAGTATAACATATTTAGTTTCAAACTGTGTGGATATTTACTGTTTATTAGACAAATTAAAAGTAGTGTGATACTATCTTAACTTTCAACTAACTAACGGTATACCTTGAGCCGACTATTCCTTATAATAATTTAGAAAATATAAACTCAAATCAAATAGTTACACTACTTCATTATCGCTAAGACATTATTTAGCATTATTTACCAAATGAAAAAAAAAACTTATCTGAACATGTTTTCGTAAAAAGTTAAATTAACCACAGCTTTTGCTAATCATTCGATTAAGTAAAAGTGAACTTAACACATTTCACATAACGTGCAATACAATTTGCGCTGGGTAATTTTCGTTTATTCGTTACGGGCTTACGTAAAAGTGAAACAGCACGTAGATTTGTATGACTTGCTCAACTTAAAGTTAAAAGCAAATTAAAGCAATTAAGTTGGTTTTCGAAAGTGGAGCAAATGAAGCTGTTTAGAATGACCGTTGATTAGATATTTGAAATTAAATTGAACCTAAGGGATTGAGTTTGAAATACTATAAATTACAGCTATAAAGATATGTTAGAAATGTTTACATAATTTTTTTAAATTTCTTTTTTCAATTTTAATTATAAGCATTTTTTTTTGTTTAGTACTAACAGCAGTGATTGATAGAAAAAATTGTACAAGTATATAGCAACAAATATTTTTGCAATTACTCATGTGATGAGTTCATTAATAGAAGTGCGTTATTTAAGACTTCTCAAGAATATAAGTCTTGCTCATTAATTTGAGTCAGCTGTGGTTAATGGAAATTAAGTATTTTCTAAAAATTTGTATGCGGGATAAAAAGCGAACTGGTTTTATAGCTTTAGATAAGTTTTATTGCAGTGAAATTAATTGATGAAAAGTTTCTTACGTTTAATATCGATCTAATAGACTAATCTTATTATAGATATGATATTATTTTGAAATTTGAAATTGCTTTTCTGGAAAGTTTTGCTGAAATTTAGCAACATTTTAAGCCAAACTGGGTTACAACTACGCTAAGGAATAGATTTAAGCTTATACAGTTAATAAGTTTCAACACAGCGGTAAAAATTTACACACACTTAATAAATACATGCATATATAGTTACATACATATATGGCGCATAAAGCGGAAATAGGAAGCGGATTGCCAGCGTCTAAATACTTTTGCCGCTCAAATTGCTAACAACAAATATGCTTAAATATAGATCACGCCAGAAAAATAACAAAAAAAAAAATTTATAAAACTGTAATAAATAGTTTTCCAACATCGGTGCCCCGCACGGAACTGCCACTTTGCATTTTTTTCATATTTTTCATATTTTTCTTTCGTTTGTTTTGCTCTCAGTTATGTTGTTAATAAGAAAAACGTAGTCAATATACACACATAACAGCATACCATATATTAATTCACATCATTAATGTATGTTTCTACGCGCATAATTATGTATTCAACAACATTGTTTATAATGCCAAAGTCTCACACATCATACATACACACACACGTACATAGTTATGCGCATATTTCTGCATGAAGCACTATCACAGCTACTGAATGGGCAAATATGCGAGCAAAATGTAAAAATCGTTAATCACATTATAATTTGTAGAAAAAAAAAAAGTTAAAGCAATAAAAGACGTCAACTTCGGTTGCACCGCAGCAATAATACCTTACACATATAGAAAAGTTTTCCATACAAGAACTTGGTTTTGTTGGTGTTGTTATGGCAGGTATATGTTTTAATGGTCCGATATGAACGATTCCGAAAAATAGGTAGTTTTTTGGGGAGAAAAATACGTTTGCAAAATTTCAGATCGATATCTCAAAAACTGTATAGGGTATAAGAAAGGAAAGAAACTATGGTTTATTTATCATTATTAATTTATTAAGCATCAATTAATTTTAAAAGCAGCTAAAAAGCGCAACAACACTATACAAGGGTAAAATAGGGCGTTATAGCGGCAAACAAATGAAAAGAGAAAAGTGTTGAAAATGTGCAGATTAGTGTTAGCTTTTTGGTGCGCGGCATGGTTAATAAATAGAGCAGCCGTAAAATGAAGTAATTTCCACAATATACAGACATACAAAATAGCATTTTCGCAACAACACGGTTATTTACAATGTAGATACTTACTGTGCTATTTTATTTTTGGGCTTGGCTCTCAAAACTTGGTGTACATGGCAAACATCCTCGCTGCTGGAATATAATCCGTTTGCCTAGGCGCTGCCGAAAGCTTTCCAGCAAAGCAGCTGTAAAGTAGTTCCACTTCGTTGCTAAGCGCTTACAATTTCGGGCATAAGATTCACTTTTTTTCGAACGTACAACGAACCAGCAATATAAACTTGCAACACACTTGTAAGTTTATTTGTATGAGACGCTTGTATGTATGTATGTATATATTCGTTGTATTATCCTACAAACATTTTACACACAAACGCACTTATATGTATGTGACACTTGTACATATATTTTTTGCTCTTTGGCACGTGAGCTTTTCACTTTCTTTGCTTCCGACGGACACCGCCTTTTCGAGACTAAGTACGCCTTGAAAGTACACTACAAACACACACATAGAAACACTGTCATCAATACCAACATTTTACTTTTATTATTTATTTATTTAATTTATATATATTATAGCTCGGTTTTATTGATTTTTGCAGGCGCAATGCAAATGTTTTTGTTTTTGCTGCACAAATTGATTTGTACTGCTTGACTTGCAGCGCTCATAAGGCAGAAATCACAAATATAAAACCACCCTGCTGCACTTGCGTGTGCGGGTGTGTGTTATCAAGTGTAACTGTATCCTTGGATACCGCAAAGCGACTCGACCACAAAGCACAAAGACTTCGCAATTACACCTGTTTTCCATTAAAAATACAGACCGACAACAGTTGACGCTTATGAATGGCAAACAGCCACAACAACAACGAACACAACAAGCTGTTCAATAATAATAATAAGAAGAACAAGTGCAATTTGCCTTTGACATCGAATGTCAATTGCAGATATCAAGCGCTTTTACACACACACACACGCACACACAAACACATTTCTACATAAGATTTGCAACGACTCAGGGCCAGCCATGCACAGGTACTTAAGGTCGTCAATTATGGCAACTGAAGGCTCTGTGTCACTTGCAAACGTCACTGACTTTATGTTTGTTGTTTTTTGTAGCATTGATTGCTATGGCTGCAGCTGATAGCTGGTGCCGTTTCTGCCTTTGTGCCTGGTTTTTTTACAACCCCTAATGGTCATTAAACTGCTAATATGGATTTTATTCAATCAATTTTATAAATTTTTCCTCTACTCTTTAATCTTTTAAAATTTACTATTATTTAAAATAATTACACAAATTTGTATTTTTCTACAAACTTCGCTCGCTTCCTTATGTACATACACTGAATTTTACTGGGCACAGGTGTTTTTGTTATTGTTGTTACTTCGTGCATTTAGCCGAATGTTTATGTTTGTATGCGCGCGCTTTTCCACTTCCGTTCACTCGTAGTCAATCGGAGACACATGCATATCCGCGTTCGAACGACCGACTTCAATACGCGCTGTTTAATGAATGGCTGGCTGGTGCTTGGCAGCTCTTCGTGTTTGAGTACCTTTTCAGTGCGCATTCACTCTTTTCATTGATTTTTGTATGTTGGGAATTACGGAAATGGCATCTGGCAATGCCACGTAGGGTAGTGTTGCCAATTTATAAGAAAAAATTGACCGGCATCTAAGCCAATAAGAGCAGTATGAAAGTAATGATTTCGTTTGGTTCAATAAGTCGAGGAAGTTTTCGAGAGATAATTATATATAAGTGTATTTATATTAATATTAAAATGAAATTTTATAGGACCCACAAATTGAAATGTTTTATTGCTAGCATTTACTATGATATATAATCGGCGGACTTTAAATTTCATAATTTTTTTATTTGAGGGGCGCACATAGTTTGAAATTTCGAAAAATAATTTTTTTCCATGGTCTATACTTTGCATCAACACACCACAGTTTCAAATGAATATTATAAGCATTTTTTGAGTAACGGCCAATAAAGAGTAGCTGCTGTTTAAATAACTCAATCAGTTTAACTTTAAACAAATAATTGCAGTTGTAATTCGAAAACAACTCATCCGATCGCTTTAATTTTTTTTTTTTGCTTATTTTTAACAATTTTCTTTACACAATAAATTTCTGGCCGATTGTATGACAAATATAGTTTTTGCGGGACCAAAATCCTCTAATTTTTTAGCAAAATTCGATATTCTTTTCAAAGTCTGCCATTTTGTTAAACTACAATTTTTGTTTTTACAGTCGTAAGTCATTGTATAGAAAATACCTTTAGGATAAAATACTATTTAAACACGATTTTGGAGTAGTTTGGAAATAGCGAGCAGCTCGCTAAAAATAATTTTTTTTTTTGTGTATACATATGTTCATAATGTATGTATATTCTCAAAATTTGAAAACATTTCACACAGTTTTACTTAAAAAATAAAACAAAAATTAACTTTACTGGTATTTTAAGAAATATTTCCTCTCTAGGTAACATTGGGCATAGAAATTCATTGAGATTCAATTTGAGAAGAATATTTTATGATCTATTCTGCAAAACATGCTGAGGCCAGATTTCCTTCATTTAAATTAAGAAGTATCGAAAATCTTGTTATGTTTCAAATTCTATCAAATAAGGCTTAAAATATATTAAATATATAGGCATATGTATAGATGACATACTTTAAGTAAAAGAACAAAAAATTCCATAAAAAATTGTATTTCTTTAAATAAATTTTTGCTATGTAAAATCTGATCTTGAATGCTTATTAAAACAAGTGAGATATTTATTGTAGAATAAGTTTAGTTGAGTGTCCAAAGTAATAGAATTTGAAGAAGAATTTTTCGGAAATACTTCAATACCGTAAAATTAAAATATTACTATTTCACATTTCGTGATTTACATGTTGTGGAAACGTGTCATAATTAGTACACGGGACTCTATGCGCCTAAGAACTTGGCAGCACTGATCATATGGTTATCAAACGTCAAATGCAATTCGTAAACAAACATATAAAACAAAAGTTAAGTGGTGCATCTCAACTATTTCGAAAAATAATGCAACATACTTGAAATTGCCGTAAAAATGCAAGTTAGCACTAATGACTATTATGAAGACAGTGGCCGCGAAGGCCAAATTCGCTGTATTTTCCTCAGTGAGTTCCATGCGACTGCTGGCTGCAAAATTAGCTGTCAGGTGGGTTTCCAATTGGAGATTTAATTTACTACAAAATATATATTCCATATGTTCCTTTGTTAATCTTCAGGTACCCGCTGATTATGTCAGCAAGGAAGTATTTGATGCCATAAATGTCTATATTATCCCCAAGCCGCACCTACAACGTTGCATACTGACAGTGAATGCCTTAGATATAAAAGTCGTGGGGTATCCAGTAGGCATTGAGAATCAACAGAAGTATGCACGTAATGCATTTCTGTTTAATTTGTGCTTTGTTTGCGATTCCTGGGCGCGTTCGGTACAGTACGAGCCGGTGGTTAAGAAATTGTCGGAGTATTTGGTAAAGTATACAAATCTTAATTCATTTAAGTATTTGACATATAATAGTGTTGTAATGTTCTGTCCCAGATAATGATGGAAGAGGAATCATGTTTCCTATCGAAAGAAGGTGACCATAAGTTGAAACTACAAAAAATCTTTGAAACAGTGATAAAAGATTTGAATGAGAAAAAAGTTACTACTATTGTGGGTTAGTCATAGAGTTAATGTCTTTACATCTTTGAAATCGGCTTCATATTTATGTTTCATTCACATAGAGGGCGACACTACTATTTACTTAAAAATTGTTATACACAAACCTGATCCACCTGTTGTTAAAGATCACATGGTGCCTTTACTGCTAGTCGATTTCAAAAATACACCATTAGACAAGTGGGATTTGACTACTCAACAGGTAATTTGCAAAAAATTTTATTCCAAAATATATTTACTATACCTGCTTATATAATTCTAGATATTCCCATATATAAATGGCATCAATCATATTGCGCGTATTGCTGCCGAAGCTGATGTCGAAACCAATCTGGTAAAGTCGTGCATACAAAATTTAGCCTACTATGGTGTCGTACATCTACTGCCCATACTTAAATATAGCAACGTGTACATGTGCACACAACATTTGAAGAGCTTAATCAAAATACCGTCATTAAGTCAAGCTTGCCGCAAATATGTCGCCTTAAATTCCGAAAAAACTCATCCATCTATACAGAAAGTCTTCCAATTTTACGCTTCCATGACACACGGTGTGACACTACGCGCCATTTGCCAACGTTTATGTCCACAAAATTACAACATTGATGAGAGAAAATTGGTTATATTCGGTTTACAGCACAAATTCATACGTTGCATTCACAAATATCCCGTTTTTACTGGTTCTGTGCCCTCCGGCAGGCAAAAAATGTATACAGGGCTATCTAGTTTTGATGAGATCTGCTGTAAGACCGGTCTATCGCCGTTGGATATTGAAAGAGACATCGATAAGGATACTAATGTGACGGTGATATGGAAATAAATGACTGAAAGTTTTAGATTTTGTTAATAAAGACATTTCATTAAAAATTATTACACATTTGTACTAAACCGACTCTTTCTTTGGTTTGTGGGCACTCCCAACAGGTTGCATCTTTTTTCCATTTTCTGTTATTCTAAAATGGATTCCTCTCATATGAAGTAACTATCTTCTCATATTGAAGATAAATGGAATAGAAAAGTGAAATAACAAAGAAACAAAATAAACGGATCCATCAAATTACCTCAATCAAGAGTTTTACTCAAGTTTTCGAAGTCGAATTTCTCAAGGCTTGACTTCAGTTTATTAAATTTGTGAAATGCACCCATGTCAAAAATCATCAGTTTGGATGCTTACTTCAATCCAGTCATCCAAAACCGCGCCCCTTGTGGTCCAAAAAGACTCAGAAAAACCGGACACATTAAGGCTCCTCGAGAGAAACATTCCGAAATCCTTGTAGTGTTGTTGTAGTAGTATTCCTGCAGTAATTTTGAGGAATGGTGCCGAGTTGACAGTCCTTGGCCGGATAAAAATCCCGGCGCGTTCTGGTTACTTAGACCTGATTTTCGAGCGAACGGCTCTCTTACTTCGTCTGTATCCCTGATAACTTGGACCGCTGCATCGTGGTGCCTACTCCTGGTGGCATCTTCGCACATATCTTCGATGAATATGTGAGCTTTTTCACGGATGGACCGGAACTCAAGGGGAATGTTGAATCAACTGTTGCTTGAAACTGCTTGTGGGGTTGCAGAGGTTTCTGCTTGTATGGTTTCTGGCTCAAATTGAAACGTAAAAGGTCCAATGAATGATTGGTGTCTGAACTGGGCACTGTCCCATTGACTCTCACGCGGCGAGGTTAACAATTTTTGAGGATACATTTTGTCAAAGTTGCGATGAGGAAGATGAGGTAGAAACTCCTTTCTCCTCCATTGTCCAACTTTCTCCAGACTAAGGTTGAAGCATCTCGGTTGCCATACTTTTAACGAAACCAGCGGATTGGCTGGAATTGATATTAGCTGCCTCAGAAAATTCGTGGCAGGCTCAGGCGCTTTTTCATCCATACCTAGGAATTCTGGGCATTACAACCGGCAGGCGTTTCTAGCTATCCATGCAGGATTATTCATAGACTTACGAATATCAGCCTGTTTACTTCATTTAACCTAGACCTAGTCTATGGTCCAACCCCGTCAAAACAGATATTTTTCGGTACCTCCAAAGAAGACACTTAATATATTTCCACTAAATAGTAAATATTTGAGTAGCTGCTACAATAATAAAAAACAACGACAATTTATAATTTTAAAAATAATTGGGTGGATTATTATCGGTTCAAACTTTACCCTAGAACATATATACTAAATATATCCATCCTTCCACTTCAAATTAATCCAGTCAGTGAGAATGTTTCATCCAGTTTAATACGATTTGCTACCGAAAATTTATAAAATCAGACTATATTTTCCCTCGATTCTTCATATAGGGGCTAGCTTGACTAACAATGCATATATCTTTTTTTTTATTTCAAACTGCCTTTCTAGACATTTTTTGATGCTAGTTTATTATTCTTTTAATCCAAGCGCACTCATCAAAATTTCCCGCTTTGAGTGCAAATCTTCACTCTGAGACTCAAAGAAGCAACACTGCCACTTGAGTGAATTGTATGGCGATTCACATAGAAAACGCTTGTGATTGGAATTGTCTGCTAGTAAACATATTTGTGGTGGCAGATCGTGAGGTACGTGTGACTCGGTCGCGGAAAAATTTGTGCCGGCTTTAGAGGACAACAAAATTTGTATCTACATACATACCTGTTTGTAAAAACAACAAATGCATGTGCATATAAATTGTTTCGGAAATTGAAAACCAACAAGAAGTGAAGTGAACTTCTGAAAGTAGTGAATTAGAAATGCATTATATGATTTGTATTTGATGGATACGTTTTGCTTTTGTATTTCTCAGCTACAAAACGATCGTCGGCGCACGCACACAAGGCAACCACATAGCTAAAGCAGATACAGACACATACACGAGTATATGTTGTTGTTGGTGTTTTGTTGATAAATCGCAAAGACAACCGATACAAAATATGTATGTGTAGTTGTGTGAGTGCCTTTGGAGCGGATTTCGCAGCTGTGTGTGCGTGTGTGTTTTTGTATCTGTGCGCCGTTGCGGCATGAATCATCTGTGAGCAATACAAACGCTGCGAATCGAAGCAGAGAAAAGTGATAATAATATAAAAACAAGAAGTGTTTATAAATAAAATATA